CCCCGGGCGCTGACGGCGGCCTGTTCCCCACTGTGCCCGTCTAGTTTGAAGAAGACGCGGAAGAAGCCGGCGGGGGCCTGGACGGCGGGCAAGGCAAGAGGAAGAGGCTGTTCTCCAAAGAACGTGAGTGGAGCCGGGCCAGAAAGCCTTGTCCAGCGCTGACGGGTCGGTCACTCACCGCAGGGCTCACTGCAGCTTTGAAGGATGATGTCCTTCCCCCAAAACACAGCTGAAACTCTGAGGAGGCAGCTATGGCCTTCTAAAAGTAGTTTTCCTTAGCAAAACAGCGGCTCTCATTCCGTGCCCTGGCTGAAAGTGCAGAAGGCTGTCGTGTAGACCCCTAAAAAATATTGCTAATGCATCCTTTGAACCTAACTGTGCCAGAAGTCAGTCACGCTGTCGGTCAGTGTTCAGTACGGGGTAGGCACGATGTGTATTTAAAGAGTCTGTCACCAGACGTGCTCTTCTGTATATACAGCAGTAGGCTTTTGTTGGGTTCTGTCTGCCTGCGTATTTCCTGCATGTTTGCTCAAGAACTGTCCTGCCCAACAGACAAGACTGCCATCCTGGTGCATGAGCTTGTGGGCTGGTGAGCTCTAACTAGATGTGTGCTGCTGAGAGCACTAAGTAGATGAAAGAAGCCTCACGCCGAGTGTTTCTTTCTGCAGTAAGATGCATGATGTATGGATTCGGGGATGACCAGAACCCTTACACAGAATCAGTGGACATTCTTGAGGACCTGGTAATAGAGTTTATCACAGAAATGGTAAGTCAGCTCTAGACAACGTGGTCAAAACGTCCTCACTAAGACTTTAGTCTTTTGAAGGTTAATACTTCTGACTCAAATACTGCATTATCCCAGGCACAAAACTCTGATGCTAGTAGGTAAAAGCTAAACTTAGACTTTGCTCTTCCAAGATTAAGGCAAAATTGACATGTCTTGCTCCATCTGGATTTAGAACAGTATCTGAAGTCCTTAAGTAGCAGTTAGATTAGTATTGTAGGGGGGGAGATACACAGCTGACTTTGGGGTTCACTGTGGCATCACTATATGTGCACCCGACAAAAGACAAGGCTCAGCTTTGAAAGTCTATAGACTTTTTGTGTTCTCTCAGTGTCTTTACATGGATGGGAACATAGCTCTGCGCTACAAAAGAAATGCAAGCTTCTAGGGCCTGAAGCCATCACTCTTCCAGATACTGTTTGAAAGTTTGTTTTGTTTTTCTTAAAAAAGTTATTCCTACTGTTTGTGGATCCCCTTTCTTTTGAAAGGTTGGCCTTGCCTTACCTCATCAAAATGCCCTAAACTGTCCTCTGATATGGTTACCTCACATTGCTTCCAAGTTCTGCCCAATGCTGTTCATCTTCAAGCACTCTGCAGGCTGGGTGTCCTACCCGTAATCTGGCTTTAGGTTTGAGGCCATTACTGTTACCTGTATATAGTGGTATGCGCTGGGTGGAAGTGACAGGCAGCTGGGGACAGCAGAACAACAGTAAGTCCGTGGTTTACTGGGAAGTTCTCTTGTGACTAGGATGATGGTGCCCAGATCCTGCAATTGCTTACTTTTTGATTATAAAATGACAGGAAATAAAGTGGAATTGAGAGCTTAAAAAAAAAAATAATAATGAAAGGGCAAAGGAACCCTGTTGACTTTCCTCTTTTCCTCTTAACAGACACACAAGGCCATGTCAATTGGGCGGCAGGGTCGCGTACAGGTTGAGGACATTGTCTTCTTAATACGCAAGGACCCCCGGAAGTTTGCCAGAGTTAAAGATCTCCTAACTATGAATGAAGAACTGAAACGAGCCAGAAAGGCCTTTGATGAAGCAAACTATGGATCTTGAGTCTGTGCGCAAGCTGCACTGGGAAGTTACTTGGGCACCTGCTGCCCAGAAGGAAGGAACATCACGTGTATTGTTTGGAGGGGTTATTCAGGATGGAGGTGACTGCTGGGGTGTCTGCCCTCGCTCCCAGCCTTTTTTGAGAAGTATTCAAGCAGCTGAATGTTATCTGATTGTATCTGGTATACTTAGGTATTTTTATACCATTTTATGAAATAAAAGCTCTAAAATTCTTGTAATGGCAGGAAGTCTGAAGTAGGACTGTGTTGAATCAGATATCTACAGGGCTAATGATGGGTGATTCTCTACAATTATTTCAGTTATCACTGGGTATTCCTGTGACAGGAAACCTAGAAAATGGATCTTGGTTAACTGGACAAAGTTTTCAAGCCCAAACTACCATAGAAGTTCTGCTCTTTGCTCTGTGTAGGCTCTTTGAATAGAACATTTTAAGTTTATGCCTACTCCTCATAACTAAACTTACACTGATCAGTTCACACAAGGTGCGTAATACAGGGGTTTTAGCACTTAATTGGCTAGGAAGGTGGTTGATTCTTCTGTCCCGTTTTTCTTTCCCGTTTTCTGTCCCCTGTCTTGTTTTCTACCAGTATTAAGCCTAGGAAATTGAAGTTAGCCTATTCCAGGTTCATGTGCACCTACAGCCTTTCCTTACCCCTGTCAGGCAGGTGCACTACAATAAAGTGGATTCCTGTTCTTCATTCTGAGACAATTTTTTCTTAGTATTTCCTGGTGATCCTGATGTTGGGGCTTAGTTACAGGCAGAAAGCATTATCCCCATTGCTGGTTCTAACATTATTTCACGAATACGTGTTGGAATAGCTGCACCTTACATTGCCAAGCAGGCAGAAGTTGCACTTACATTAAAAAGATTGCAGGACAGCGAGAAACATGTTCACCAGTCAGGAGTTTATTGCTGCAGGCCACAGCTGTGCTTTCCTCTCTTTCTGGAGCAGCTCAGAGGCTACTGCCTCTGTTCACTAACATTTCAGGACAAGGACAACATATGCTGAATAGCAATAATTCTGCAAGTCAAGACTGTCCCCTATACAAGCAGCACAGAAGGAAGGGTATAAGACTGCTTCCCTGGAAAAGTGGCAGCAAGTCTTCTGTCCTAAGCAGCAGGAAGCGATCAGCTGCAGCCTTCTGCCGTGGATGGTAACTGTTTGCACTGTGGATTTGACAGCAGCACTTAACATGTAGTTGAGCAATAAAGCAGGGATACTGAGTAAGTGTAACTCAAAAGTCACTGTTCCTGGACAAGGCTAGACAAAAGGATGAATAGTATTCAGCTGTTTGGAACACTCTTCCATTAAAAAAAAAAAAAGGAAAAGCTGTTTACAAAAGCGTAATAAAATAGTTGGTACTTTCTTAGCAGAATTCAGCATATGAGTTACCAATATACCATTAGGGTTTTGAGGGTTTTGCTTAAAAAAATAACTGGAATGACTCGACTCCTTTCCTCCTTGCAAGTCCAGGGTCAGACACCCATTGCTGCTTAAATAGAATCAATATCCATGTTCTCAGTAGCTTCTTTCCAGCCAGGGCCAGGGCTTCCTTCCAGCAGCAGCTGCTTCAGGGCCCCTGCCGTGCCTAGTCTGACAGGACCTGTATCAGCACTGGAATGTCCTTCCCAGCTCGGAGACCCATCCTGGTAAGCTGGGAGGATGAGTGATGCACCGTTCTCACAGACCCCAAAAAGCTCAGAAGGTTTTTGCCGAACAGTCTTCAGAGTTCTCTTCAAGCGTGCAGATGGTTTGATCCTTCTTCGATAGAACCGTGCCCCGAGGTACTGCTTTGGCCAGCGTGCATTTTGTGACCCATATAGGAGGTATTTGCGGACAGATGTTTTGACACAGCAGAGTTTTTTCTTCAAGCTTAAGGGGAGGAAGGTGCACAAAACATGACTTTATCAGCTGCTAAGGTGTTATTTCATTTGAGGCTTGGAGAGATTCAGTTATTAACCTTCTTTACCGTTTTCCTTGTCATAACAAGGATATACAGCAGCACCTTGTGCAACAGTAGCCAGGGCATTCTGAAGAAAGGCAACACCCCCTGCATCATATAATCACTACCATTAAACATGCACATGATTTAAGTTGCATTTTCATCCTCCTTCTTAAGTATTTGTGCATTTGTTAGCCTTTTAAATCCTCTCACAAATGACTGAAGCTAAACAGAATGTTTGCATCAGAGCGTCCAGTAACCTGAACTAGTGATCCTGTTTGAGTTTAAAAAGAATGGGTTAGACCACTGCGTTTCTCTACACTATAGCAAAATACATTATATTAAAATGTGAAGTGTCAGATCCAGAAACCCCACACCCATGCAAAATTACCTGCATCCTTGAGCCTCCACATGGTGCAGCCGGTTGCTTTTCAACAATTTGTTACGCAGAAAATAAGCTTCTGATCTGAATTTGTTGCCTTTGCACCACAGAATAGCTTTTCTGAGTGCCTCTGACAGTTCCCCAAATGACGTCGCTGTTTGGACCATCTGCACAAGAGATCCAGCATGCTGCAATTTTGCTATCCGAGAGGAAGGTGATGACGACTTTGCTTTAAAAGGTGTTGATGCAATGCTTATACCCTGAAACAAAGAATAACAGAAAAAGTTAATCTTTTAAAAACATGACATGCCTGATCCTCTCTGCTGAAGAGGATCAGAGCACTGAGGGTTTTGTGAGAACATCCCTTATTTCCTAAAGAGAAAGTGGGAAAGCGGTCTAGTTTTGTAGAATACAAAAAGAGATAGATAATTAGAATTTGTATTCCTGTCTACTACTGACTTGCTCTCTGGTCATTTCACTTGACGTACCAACAAATGCTCAAATTCATAAGCAGAAATTAGTAGTGATTTTCTGTGCAAAGTTTCCATGCTAACTTGGGTTGTTGGACAATCAAAAATAAGGCAGGGAAAGGGGGCATTTTCAATCAAAGACATCATGTTTTGAATGTTACAGTCTTTAAAAAAAAAAGTGTAAAACAGTACCGTACAAACCTCTTGTTTTGGAGGTCTGGATGGTCTAAGCAAGTTCTTCACATCAAATCCCTGGTGCTTCCCTACAAAGAGAGGGACAGTCCCCATTATGAAGTAAAGACAGTTTAAAGTCTTTGCACAGAGACACTGCAATTCTTTGCCCTGCTGAGCTCTCAGAGCTACTGCCATCTCGGCAGGCACACGCCTGCACTCAGCATTTCCAGGCAATCTCAAGGGGACTACACTCATCTCACATGGCAGCTGGCAAGAGATGAAGAGGATGCAGAGATTTACCGATGGCTGCAAAGGAGAACTTAATGGGTAAAAGCTTCACGCAAATACCTGGATGCCTGCAGTCACTGGCCATAGCCCTGACTGCGGCGGAAGACTTGAGCGCAGTCCCCCCGAAGCAGCAAGGATGGGATATTTGCATGTTGTACTTACAACCTTATCTACTCTTGTGTGGACCGCAGACAGTGCTCTTAGCTTCCCTCACTATCCTTGGGCCCCATCTATGCAGAAGCAGTAAAATACAAATAACTATTTACAGGACCTGTATACTGCGTTCATTACCTGCTTCTCTCCAGGCTGTATCATGCTTTTTAAAAAAAAAAAACAAACAAAAAAAACCCCAAAACAAAAAAACCAAACCCCATCACAATACTGCCATTATCCACCACTTTATAAAGGCAAGGGTACATGCAGCATTCTCGTCCTCTTCCAAGGACAGGTGAGGGGAGTTTGTATTAGAACCACACTCTGGGGGTAGTAGAAGTGCTTGGCTCTGTTGGACAGAGGTTGCGGTCAGTCTCTGAGATGTCACAAACCAGTAGCACTGTGGCACAAGGCTTTACCTCTTCTGGCTCTGGTCACCAGAGCTGGCTCCCCACTGTCTGCAGGGCATGAGATGCTACAGTTGTTCACAGCACTCATGCAGGTAGCAAAATTTCTGGTTTTCCCAACTTCTGATGCTGCCTCTGGCATTGTTGAGAAGAGCTTCTTCAGCCAGCTGCTAGGTTTTTTTGTTGTAAGCATTCTAGCCTTTTGCTTCTTGACCTCAGAAGAAATGTTAACTCCAAGGAAGTCACTGATATCAGAAGGGAAGGTAAACCCCTTGATATAAGGCATCTGTTGGGTCTCAGATACGAGATGAAGTGATGTCGACAACACACCATACAAGGACATGAGGGTCTCCAATACACACCTGTACTGAATCCTGAAGAGAGAAGACAGGAAGGTATGGAGTCTCCTCTAGCAAAACCTTGTGCTCACTGAACAACTACCTTCAGCTCAAGCAGAAGAGCTGACAGAAGAGATTCCAAGCTGCCCTTTCCCTATTTCCCCTCAATACAAGCTTATCTTTTACACTCCATCACCATGCTTTCCTTAACATTAGTCTGAGCTTTAAGGAACTGTTCAGGATCAGAATGTAGGAGTGACTTGACTAGTAAATCCCTGATCAGGAGCCCCTCCGCTTCCCTAGAGCTTTGCTGAGTGCCACACCTGGGACTCATCAAGTTCTCAGGTCACATCCACATCATTTGACTTGAGGTCTTCCCCCAAGAGCAACCTGCACCAACTCAGGACAATGGTGCTAGCACTGATGCCGTACAATCGCCTGCTCTGCCTTTACGGGGGAGGCAGATTTCTTGTGTCATAGAACATTTTACTGAGTTGTTCTACACAATGCTGTTACTCCTTCAGCTACAGTCAGCAGTTACTTTCTCGTACTGAGAGAGACCACAACACCAATTTCCCTGGAAAACTCAGCAGGGTTATAGGACAACTTTATCCCAGCCTTTCCATTTCAGCATGGGGCAGAACTTAGACTTGCTGCGGAGTACCAGGTGTTAGTGTTTGTGGCAGGCTGGCATTAACACTGTGATTTTCTTAGTGCTACAGAAAGTTTGCTATGAACCAAGAACAAAGCCTTCCACAACAGCACATAAGAAGTCTCTCTCCACTTACACAACTCTTCAGTTGCATGAATCAAGTTCAAAAGGATGGAGAGACACCCCCCCCCCTTCACTGAATAAAGCTCACTCAGCAGCAAGGCTTAATTACAAGCCCTTCTCCCTGACAGGCATGTCAAACAGACAGACAGCATCAAGACAGACTTTTTGAATACACAAACCATAGTCGGCTCAACAACCCCGAAGCCACAGTGTTCAAAAGTATGAATTCTTCCGAGCAGAGATGTTTAACAGACAAGCTGAAGATTACAACAGTTAAGGATAAAAAATAAACAGCATGTAATGAGACCTGCTTTTTTTTTAGAGGCAATTCACACGGCAATATCCGGGATAATTTGGGAGATAAGTATCCAAACTTTGGGTTGCTCAAGGCCAGAACAGCTGCCAGCCAACAGCCCAAGTTTCCTACATAATAATTTGAAAAGATGATGTTTGGCTATCAAAGAAACATCAATTTGCATGTATAAACTGCACAGTTGAGTCCATCAGCAATATAGGGCCTACTGCGGACCTAGTTTTTGTCTTATGAGGTGCTGCTGGTGAACTGTAAGAATGCTTTCGTGGTGAAAAAGGATACAGAAAAGCTTTACAGCAACAATCCTGCAGACGTAGTATAAGCTTGCAACCTCCCAACACCTTCATGGCCACTGTTTCCAGCATAGGCTGGCTGGGAACTAAGCACTCTGCATGGGCTTGGGATGTATTTTTCCTGTGTTAATACAAGGATGAGGAGATGGTTATGACCTAGCATTCCCCACCTTTAGCTCTGCAGACTGAGTTAATGGATAGTACAACATACAGGATCATGACACTTACTTGGGAATCAGTTCTGCCAGAGTTTCAATGCAGCCCACCAAGTTCATTTTCCATAGGCGCTTCAAGCACTGTTCTACCTAGACAAAAGAAAACTCCTTTGACTGGTATTCTGAGAGATGGGAGTACCTTGGTCTAAGAACTGTCACTATACTAAGTGGCACCTTCCCCTTATCAGTTTAACAGCATCAATGGCAAGTTTGCATGATGGAATGTTCCACTATGTCGCTATATCTGCACTATAATGAAAAGATCCCTTTGCCACACTACCGTCAGTATGGGATTAAGGGCTGGAATAGGCCATTGTTAATTGGTGCTGCTTGGTTTCCCCTGCTGTATACAGGGGCCTTTGGTATTGGCTTTCAAGAACAAAAATGCATAAACAAATCAAGAACGTAAGAACAATTCCTGTTCGATTTCAAACCAGTTATTTGAAGATATTGAGAATCCCTTTACTGGAAAACTGGTAAGGAGTTCACTTTTCATCTTAAACCAGAAAGTGCCTCATAAAGTAGCCTAGGATTATTCCATCCCCCTCCCATTATTACAATTAATTGAAAATTAAATCCCTGCATTACTGCTATATTCAAAAGTATGTACTTGTACCTACTTCAGGTCTCACCGTGAGTGTAAGAGACTGAGTATCGGTTTCACAGGGCTGGAAAATGGAAATTGCAGCGGCTGCACAGAGCCAGGAAAAGCCACTGAACTAAACTGTGAGGAGGCTTAAATGGCAAAACCGCACCTGCTCCAAAATACTTTTTTGCATGATGCTGCAGGCACCAAGCGCTGCTCCGAGGGCCTTTCAGAGACCGGTGCCTGGGGGCCGGGGCTGCTCTCACCTGCTGCAGGGCCAGGTAGGACCGGTGCCGGAGCAGCCTGCTGTGGTAGACGTAGAGCACGGCCCGCAGGACGCGTCCCTCGGCG